GTAAATGTTATGTAGAGGAATGAGGAACGTGCCAGAGGAACCCAGACAGGAGTGACTGATTAGAGGAAATGAGTAGGGCTGTCCAGAGGAGGTGTTTTGAGCCTCAGTGTTAAGAAGGTGTGGAGAGTAAAGGTATTCTAGGCTAAGGGAATGGCAAGGAGATTGAAAACCATGAGCAAGGACAAAGAATGAGGAATAGCTGGTATAGTTGTAGGGATGTCCGGAGTTAATATAATGGGAGATAAAACTGAAAATGTAAGGCTCAGAATTGGAGCATTTTGAAGGAATTCTTTATATTTTGTAGGCAGTAGAAACTCCATTGTAGTTTGTGAGAAAAGAGTGATACGATCCAACCTTTGTTCTAGAATGGTTACAGCGATCAGAAGGCTGGTGGAGGAGTGGAGATTGGTGACTGGGCTGAAGGTATCCAGAGAACTGAGGTCCTAGGTAGAACACTCAATGGGATGGGAAAGGGGGGACTCATGTAGAAACACTGCCATTCTTAGGGGAAGTCAACAAGGTTCAGCATTTGGGGCTGAGGACAGGTTTTGATGAGAAGCTGTCCCCAGTTTGTACATTCCAGTTTGAAAGTGTCCATGACAGAACACACATCAGGTGTTATATCAGCATATCACTTGCTATTTCAGGGGTGGAGAAAAGGAACAATTGGTTGCTGTCTAACTGCTGTGGATCTCTCTTGTAGCCTCATTGCTCTTGAGGTCTGTATCGCTCGCTTGTACTGCCTGCACACCATTTCCATTAGTGTTATTTTGACAACCATGTCACTGTATGCACAGAGGAGGAAGATGGGAATAAACAGTCTTGTGGGATGTAACACATGTTTACACTTCTAGAGGATTATCTAGAGAAAAATACTAATGCTGATGGCTACAGATGGAGTTGGAAAGCAGTAGACAGAATTTTTTGCAAGTTGGCAGGAAATGGAAGAATCATGACAGTTTCTTGAGAAAGAAAGAGGTAGGTTGAGGGCTCCAAACAAATTAAAAGAGAAACTATAAAGGCACAATGCCATGATGAGACAAGGTCCTGGAAAGGTTGGGACCTACTGGATCCTGTGGATTCAAAGTAGCCTGAGCACAAGGTACCGAGTGTTAGTCTCAGATGAGTCTCAACCTCACTGACCCTCTGCTCTTTCATCTGCCAAACAAAGATGGGAGAGACACTCATGGAGTTAGTGTACAAGTTGAGTCTCTTTTTTTGTTGTTGTTGTTGTTTTTAATAATCAGTATAAGGCAGATGTAATTGATAATTTTAGCCTTGGAAAAGAGTAGAAATTGTTGAGTATTTGAAGAAATGTTGATGAAAAAGGGAATTTGTATAGTCTCATGAGAACTTTTATGTACTCTGACCCCAAAATGGTCTTTTCCATTCTCAACTGTCCCAGTCTTCCCATGGCTGATGAAATAAATGCCTCAAAATCAGTATTGAATTTTCATTGAGAATTAGAATAGCTAAGTATTTTTTTCATTCTATTTCATATATCATCTGGCCATGCCCCATCCACCCCAGCTGAAACCCTCCACTGTACATACTCCCATCTTCCTGTGCGTGATCCTGTTGTTTGCCTATCTTAGTTTCGTATTAAGGCCCAGTTCACATAATTTCTACTCTGATAAACCACCTCTGCAATCACCTTTTTTTTTCACATCCAGTTGTATACTTGCTTACTCACTTCATTCATTCATCACTTTGTACCACAGAGGACTTAAGACAGCAACATACTGTATTCCTTCTGTTGCTATATGATGCTGTTATGTGTGCTTGGCTTCCGATGGATGGAAGAAACCTGTCTTACTCATACCTCATAATTAACTGTGCCTGTGTAGGGATTCAGTAAATGTTGGCTGGGTTAGCTAATGTTCAGACCCTGTCTTTGCACCTTTTGGCATCCTCTGGAAACAGTATTGTAGGCCCTCAAAATGTGATACAAGGGTACTGCATATAGCACTATAAATAAGCACAGGCTCTGGTGCCACCGCCAGAATGGAGTCTTGCCTTCGCACCAGTTCCTCACCTACAGCAAGGTTTCTAGATTGCTCAGTTTTCCTAACCACAGTACATCTTCATAGGAGTGTTCATACATGTATTCAGCTCCTAGTGAGCACTTGAGAATGTTGGTTGCCAATTGTCGTAGCCATCACCACCAACCTCACTAGGCAATTCGACTGTGGAGTTGAAATCCTGGTTTTAAAAATCTAACATTAGGTATTCCTTTCCAGTCCCTTTGAATTGAGCTGTATCTTTAGGCAAACATACCCAGAAGGGTTTGATAACAACCAAATATTATTTCTAGATTTGATGTAGTAGAAGGAAAGATATTCCAAGTGCCTGAGACCCCTGTCTCACAAGATCTACTTAGGAGGTTCTTGGGTGGGAGACTGGGACCCTACTTCAAAAGGAGATGAACATTTGGTCATTGTGACAGGCTTCATTTATTACCAGAAGGCTGTGGGAACATGGGAGACACAGATGATGTTCAGAAGCCTATATACAGTATGCTTGATTGAGCAGCTGGCCCATCATTCAAAAGTCATTTAAAACAAGAAATCTCTCTCTCTCTGTCTCTCTCACACACACAGATGCGCGCGCGCACACACACACTGACAGTAACTTAAAAAAATTACATTACCTGTTAATCTTTTACTAGGAGCTCTGGTAGTATAGTGCCTAAAGCACTTGACTGCTAACCAGAAGGCTAGCAGTTCGAATCTACCAGCCACTCCTCGGAAGGAAGGGTAGGCAATCTACTTCTGTAGTGATACAACCTCGGAAACGCAAGGAGGGGTCGCTGTGAATCGGGTCCGACTTGAGGGCAAATAACAACAACAATCTTTTACTATCAGCCAACTCTTTTTACTGACTTAAGTAAACCATAATTCATCTTTTACAACTTCCATTTTTTTTCCTTAAGCATAAATTGTAAAACATGTTTGAAGTAATCTGAGAGCTAATTAGTACTAAAACTTTCAAGTAGGTATTCTTAGTAGGTTTTCAAATAATTTATTCCTTGTCTTTCCACATTCATAATTCACTGATGTACTCAGCATTAAATGATGGCATCACAATATCATCAGCTGAAATCAGTTGGCTTGAGAACAGGTTGGGTAGATACATATCAGCTGGGGATGGCAGAAGTAGGCCAGGGGGTGGGCAGCAGCCCAGTGCTCAGCCCTTGGTGGCCATCAGAATGTTTTAGGGACCAGATGGAGAGGGGTGAAGGAAATTTTGAAACAGAAGTTCTGAGTATTGACAATTTTCAGCAGATCATATTTTTCCCAGCAGGTGGCAGACGCAGCTCATGAGCTGGCTTTGGCTTCTACTCCCAGTCTAGCCACAATTAGTGGCTAAGACAAACTCCCTTTCATCCCTTAGTTCTTTTCTGTTCCCTAAATAGGCTGGTGGCGTATTCTCACCAAGCTCCCTGCAATGCGAGGAGAGACTCAGTGGAGGCATAAGATGTACTGGGTACTGCCACCTAGCTTCTCAATCCTCAGTGTCTCCTTGGAGGAATGGGACCAGTTCTTAACTTGTAAGGAGTTCGTTTTTCTTCTCCTTGGCTGCAGAAAGGGCAGCATCTCGCCTTCAGGGAAAGGGTTGGTCACCCAAATTGCTGGCATGTAATTGCAGGGGCCATGAGGGAGTGCCATATTATTCTCCATTTGGCCCCCAACAAAACTGACCACTAATCTGCTGAGAGCCTCAGTGCCCAACTCCCAAACAACAGAAGCCAGCCAGCTGCATAGTGGACAGTCAGGCTGGCATCCCAACCACTGCTGGATTCACTGGGCCTGGCTCTAGCCCATGGCCTTGAATTTCATGCCATGCAGCCAGTACTTCCTGGGGCCACCAAGCATTAGTCAAGTGTTAAGATAATTTATGTTTGATTCTAGACAGACAGGGTGGCTGGGCCTGAGGACTTCTCCAGAGATAGTGGTTAAAAACTGGGTGCTTAGGTGACCACAGCCCACTCTGCCCCCAAATCTGCCACAGGTTACTGCTCAGGCTGAAGCTGCCTGTGCCACGGAGTCCTCTGCCCAGAAGCTGCTACTTCAGTCATCCCTGAGGCTGAGCCCTGAGCTCTGGCATAAGCCTGCTGGGTGACGGTGGCAGGGGAAAGGGTGTTTTGAGAGATTTTCTAATGAAGTATTGAAGTCTGAGAGGGGGAGGAGGGCTTCCAGGTTGAGGACATCGTTGTCACATCGGCATGGATGGGGGAGATAAGACTAGCTTCGAACACAGGAAAGGGGTGGGCAGAGAACAGGCACTTCTCGGCTTCAGAGTGCACAGCACCCACTGAGCTCTGCCTGCCTCAGGTCCTGGTGCACATGTGGCCCAGCACAGGAAGGCAGGTGATATGGCCAATGGCAGGGGCCCTGGCGGTTCAGAGCAGGGGGCAGCAAGGACAGATGTCTGGGCTCGAGCACACGAGTGATTTGCTGAGAGCCAATGATGTGTGGCCTCAGTGCCCGAGACAGCACTGGCTCAAGCTTCTTGCTGTATTTCTAACCACCCAGCTCTGAGAGAAGCCCCAAGGCGCCGACGCTGCAAGAACCAGACAAAGGGATTTGGTGAACTCCATTTTGAATGGCCATAAAGAAGCAGCCAGGCACCAGGGCATCATGTTTACAGAACAAATTTAATAAAGAAGCAAAACGTTCGTGGTGGGCCCCCATGTCCCGAGTGCCATCGTTTTGGTGGCCACGGAATTTTGGGGGTGGGGAGGGATGTGCTAAATGCTCCTGGCATTGTTCCCTGCTGACACCCAAGTCTCCTGCACAGTCACAGCAGTGTCTAAACCCCCAATGGGACATCAGGACCTCTCTCAGGCTGGTTCCTGAGCACCTGGCACGCCCAGCATCCCTGCCTAAGGCCCAGGTGAGCTGCAGAAGCTCTGACTACTCCATAGGCCAGCTGCCACCACTGTGCTGGAAGAAGGACCAGCCTCCTGGAGGCAGAAGTGCTCTCCTCCCCACTCCCCTTTACTGTGGGGCTCGAGCACCTTTGGCTCCAACAGTCAAGCTTCCCAGGGTTGAAAAAAACTCCTCCATTTCCTTCTGCAGGAGCTGGTTTCTCCTCTCGGCATCTTCCCGTGCCCGCTCTGAGTTCCTCAGCTTTATCTCCAGCATCGTGTACTTTTTCCTCTCCTGGTCTAGTTCTTCTTCTAACTGTGACATGCGCTTCCTCAGGTCAGCACTACCGTCTTCAATTCTTAAAAATCAGGAAGAAAGACATGTTTTAGATTCTGGCCTATTGTTTGCCAGAGTCAGCTGAAGCATGGAGGGGAGGGAGGGAGGGAGAGCTGGTGAGAGCCAGGTTTCAGCAAGGTGCCCACAGGGTGTTGCTCCTTACAAGAGCCCCAGGGCTTAACCAGAGAGCAAATAAGTCTCACCCCAGCTTTACCTCCTCTCAGTTTGTAATCCAGAAACATCACCAAGAGGACTTCCTTCAGCACTTGAAGGCCTGTTGTTGTTGTTGTTGTTGTTATGTGCCGTCGAGTCAGCCCTGACTCATACATACTCATACTCACCAAAATACAAGGCCATTTATACCTCCAGCCTCTCACCTGCCCCATTTAGGGACTAATGCTAAATGCCAGAGCAGGACAAATCCCCCCACAGAGAGCAGTGTGGAGAGGGTATCAGAGCTTGAAACAGTTCCCTTTTTTTTTCTTCTAAGAGTTTTTAATCTTCTAAGAGGCCCTGGGGGATCCAGCCCCTCTCCTGCTGCTCCCCACGCCCATCCTAGGCTGCAGCCCGACACACAGTGACTCCAGGGAAACCACCTTCTGCTGACAGCCCCAGTCCTCCTCATGCCTGCGGTGAAGCTGTCCTTGAGCTTCCCCAGCAGCTCCCATCATGACCTCCTTTATGTCCCTACAGGGCACACACCACTGTCTGTGGAGGTTTACACCACATAGTACAGAAGTTGACACATCTGTCTTTCATCAGAATATAAACTCTTGTAAGGAGGACAGGAATGGAGACTTGTGATATTTCTACCCCTCCAGGCCCAGTGCCTGTGCTAACAATGGCCGGTGCCCACTGGTTCCTATGGCTTGATTCAGTTGCCAACAAGTGTCCAAGTGAAGCTCTTGCTTCATCCTGGGAGGGGAACAACGACTTAATTGCCCTTAGCTGCCTCCCGGCCTTGGTTTGGCTCCACTTGCTCCAACAACTTCTCATTCTTTTGGTCTATAACTCTCAGCACCTGGCACTCTCCCCTACTCCTCAGGGCTCTGACCCCATTTCTCCTACTGCATTCACTGCTTCATTATGGATGACTCTGGCATGTGAACTACTTGACCCTGCCAGTGCATGGTGTCACGGTTCTGTCCAGGAGGGTCCCCATTACTCCACAGCCAACAGCCATGGCTTTCCCTCTGACGTCACTGCCACCGGAGACTACCTGACCCCTAGGGATGCAGCACTTGTTATCTGCTAAATGTGGGTACAGCAGTGCTCCAGTGGCTCCTCAGGTGAGGCAGGGACACACACTCACTTACCTTCCCCACAATACTGAGGATGGAAGTCCAGGGACCTGCCGCATAGCAGAGCAGTGTCAGATCTGGGCTGGAAAGCACAGGGCCACTCTTGCCCTGACATCACACTATTTTCCTGTTGGCAAAATCTCCAATTGTTTGACTACTACCTCCGGACCTTCTCACCTTTGTCTGCAACCCTGTCAACACAGCTTTTCTCCTGTACAGCCACATTACAGCCCATGCCAATCCCTTTTCCCTTTAATCTCCCCATGGACGCACCCATAGCCTCCAGCCCAGGTCCAGACACATCATGGTCATTAAGCATCCCCTCTTTCTGAGCATCCTCAACCCATCCCCCAGCACTGGTTCCTTCCCTCTAGCCAGCAGACATGGCCAAGTTATCCGCTGACCTTCTGTGGTGGTTGTTTTTGTGTCAACCTGGCTGGGCCTGGTTGAGTGGCTGGGCAGCTGGTGGTAGTTATTCCCCATGATGAGACTGGCAACCAACTCCATGGTGGGATCTACCACAAGCAGCTGAGTAGCTGCCTTTGGGATGTGGTCTGCTTCCTGTATATAAGGAGCAGTCTTGGGAGTGGTCTCTAGCCTTTGGCATTCTTGGACCCTGCATGTAGCCATGTCGTTCAGCAGCCTGCCATGCTCTGCTGACCTTGGGACTTACAATGGACTTGAGTTAATAGCCTGCCATGTTTGGTAACATCAGGACTGTGCCTTTTTACTTGTCAACCTTGGGGCTTCACAGCCTCAGCAGCTAGCAGCTGTCTGAGTGAAGAAACACCTCTAGCTCCAGTGGGCCAGGAGCAGGAGCCAGAGCTGGACCCCAAGGTTGAAGGGCTTTCACCCAGCCCTAGAGCCTGGCACTTTGAACTTAGACTTAAAGCCTCCAAATTGTAAGAATAAACTCCTATTTGTTAAGGCCATCCCATTTGTGGTATATTCATGTCAGAATGGCACCAGGTAACCAGAATACCTTCTCACACCTTTGAGCTCCTGTTCTTTCTCTGCTGCTACGTGTCTTGAAGGGGCAGTCTACACATTGACCCCCTTCTTCCTCACTGCCAGCCTCCTGGTCCAGGCCTCCACTCACCTCTCCAAGGATGCTTTTTCCCAAAGGTCCTGAGGGATAGCATCCATCTGTGTGCATCACTTTGGCATTACCTCTGTAGAGCCTTGGCTCCAAGACATCAAACTCTCGGGTTTTCCGTTTCTAACCACCTGTAGGGACCCTTGGAGGATATCTTCTCCTGCCCCTGCTTGAGAGCAGATGGCATCCACTTGCTTCCACTCTCTTGGGGCTCTCTCTGCCTGGAGCACATGTTCTGCTCCCATGGATGTGCCTCCTGCTTGCTGATGGGTACCAGGTAACTGTCCCTAGGTCTCATCCACCAGCCAAGCTCTCCACCTTCTGGGAGTGTGTCTTAAACGGCCCCCCATTCTTTCCTTTGAATGAGCACACCACCATCCCATGAATGACCAAGGCACAGTAGAGCCTTCCTGGGCTCTCCCTCACCCACAGTCAACTGCAGAATCACTGTCAACTTGTCTCCTCTGCCCCTGCCAGGCAAAGTGCTGGCCCTGCTGAGCCATGGCTCCTTGGCCAGTGATAGAATCTGCCTGCCCCAGTGTCTTGGACCATCTCTGTGCTGCTTGTTTGGCTCCTGAACATGGCTTGGCCTCTTCCCCTCTGGCCTCACATCCCTCCCCTCTGTTCCTGCCTCATAGGGTCCTGGCTCATCCACACAACCACCTCCCCCATGGCTGTGGTTTTCCTCCCACGATGACAATCTCATGGTAGCCCCAAGGAAAGCAGCTAAGTATAGCACAATGCCTAGCATACAGTGTGTGTGGAACAAAATCAATCTGTGTGTGCCCCATACAGGATGTGGCCAAGGCACTCATCCTCTATTCCTGAACAGGAAGTGCGGAGAGGGGAGGACACCTCCTCACTTCAGCCCTGGGCCTGCAATCAGAAAGAACTCTGCCCAGGCAGGTGGGTGGCAGCTTGATCTCCAGCACCCCCACCTGCTCCCTCCTGACCCCAAGCCCCAAACTTTGCTGCCCCCCTCACCCTTGACCTCTCTACTCTCAAGGTTCCAGAGCTTGGGGCTTGAACCTCATCTCTTTTCCCTCTATACCCACTGACCACGTCTTATCTCAAGTTCTCCAGGCTAAGGATGCCTCGACTACATCTTCCTCAACTGTACTCAAGGAGCCTGGGTGGTGTAACCAGGTTGTGACTGGCTGCTAACCAAAAGGTTGGCAATTCAAACCCACTTAGCAGCTCCTTGGGAGAAAGACCTGGCAATCTACTTCCATAAAGAACACAGCCAAGAAAAGCCTATGGAGTAGTTTTACCCTGTAACAAATCTGTCTTGGAAGAAGTGCAGCCAGAATGCTCCTTGGAAGCGAGAATGGCCAGACTTTGTTTCACGAAACCTACTTTGGTCATGTTGTCAGAAGGGACCATTCCCTGGAAAAGGATATCATGCAAAAAAGTGGAAGGCCCTCAATGAGATGGACTGACACTGTTGCTGCAACAATGTGCTCAAGTACAGCAAGACTGTGAGGGTGGTGCAGGAGCAGGTAGTGTTTTGTTCTGTTGCACACTGGGTCGCTGAGTCAGAGCTGACTCAACGACACCTAACAATAACCTTGTAACACATGGGGTTGTCATAGGTCAGGGCCTGACTCAGTGGCAGCTGACAACAACAATCTTGTTTAGGGTCTCCGTGCTCCTCCACCCAAATAAGAATGGGACTAAGACTTTGATCCATTTGGGCCCTGACTGTGTCCTTAGCACCTCCAACAGTGCCCGGCACATGGCAGACCCTCAACAAATTCTCTTCTGGGAATGACAGAGTGAGCATAGAGGAGGCACCCAGGGCTTGAGGGCAGGGTTCCTGTCTCTTCACCTACTGCAAACTGGGCCAAGTGCTAACCCATGTGAAGAGTAAATGGACGTATTGCCAAATGCCTATTGATTGAGCAAGGGGCACCCCCCACACCCTGGACTGCCCCTCCAACCAAGATGATAGCCAGCCACCCTGCTGGTGAGGGTACAAGAACACCATCACTGTCTCACTCCACCTGACAGCAGGAGGTGAGGCAAGCAGGAGTGTTTACTGACATTCTGTGTGTGCTGAGTGCCTCCCTGCTCACTTACTCCTTACATCACTTAATTGGTGACATGCCCCATGCAGGAAGGGCTGCCAAAATGCTCAGTGACTCAGTGACAACAGGGTGCAGCCAGGACCCTGTAGCCCACTGCCAAGCACTACTGTGCTTTCTCCTGAGAAACTGAGCCTCTGAAAAAGAACGAACTGGAAGCTCCCACAGGCACCACAGATAGGAAGTGAAAATTTGGTACTGACCCGCTCCAAGGCTATGGTCTCGCTCACAATTTTACACCTCGTCATTCACTTCTGGTTTTCTTTCTTTTCCTTTGCACACCTGCCATGACCTTTCCCTTCCCTAGCCTCCCCAGAGGCAGAGGCCACCAGGCCCAGCTGTGGACACATACACCTGACTGTGGCAGGTGCCTATAAAAAGGCCAAGCACTGCTGTCCCTGGTTCTCATGAGAATCCTAGGCTCAGAATTAGAAGCAAGAATCCCTCTGCCTGCACTGGCTGATGGGAAAAGAAGCCCCAAGGAGCATTCAGAAGCCTGGCACGTGGGTGGGGCCTGGGTCCATCAGTCAGACCATGATGCCAGGCTGAGGCCAGCAGGCTACGGGTCTGAGGTGCTGATAGATGCTACCAGGCCAGGTCAGCTCTCTGTACCTGAGGCTCCTCCGTGTCAAGGGGCAAAAACACCCTCCTCACTGGCCAATACCAGGACAGGAGGAGACCCCATCTGTGACCCAGTTGGGAAACCTCAGACTACCTCACACCTCTGGGAGTAAGATCAGTGGGAGAGGGAAATAAGATTCTATCTAGTCCAGAAGGGCTCCTTCCTCCCCATCAGACTATGATGAGACTGGGGCAGACATCAAACTGGCTACCCTCTCCACTTGGGCTACTAGACTGTGTCCATATAAGCCCTGGGGCCCAGTTCCAGGGGGATGGCCCCCTTCCCCATCAGGGATTGCAGAAAGACTCTGCTCTGAGATCCCCCATCCTGCTCTGAGCCCTCCATCCTGCTCTGAGCCCCTACCTTACTCTGATGCCCCATCTCTGAGTTCCCCATCCCATTCAAGCGCCCTCATCCCACTCTGAGTGCCTTCATCCCAGGTCCTCTAACTTAGGATTCTGACTTCCCTCTTCGTTCAGCAGAGAACCCACAGAGGGCCAGGTCTGCCTCTGCCTGAGGCTTCCACTAGAATACCTCTGACCCTGTCCCAGGGTGTTTTCCCCAGAAGGCGCTGGCTCCTGGAGTGGCTGCTCTCAGCCAAGCCCAGCCTTTTAGAAGCCTCTTTCAGAACTAGACAATATGGATCTTGGGGGGCCCTGGGCCCAGAGGCTGCTTGTCGTGGTTGGAGCCCAGTGACCACACACGGTCCTGGAGGTTCCTCAAACCTGTTGACCACGGAGGGAGAGGGGCTGCCTCACATGCCGCCAGTACTGCAGCCCTTTACCTTTTCATATTTGTCTCGTATTCAGTCCTTTGCCGGCACAGCTCTGCCCTGAGCTCCGTGACCAGTCCCTGGAGGGTCTCAGGGCCACAGGTGAGATCCTGGCCAGGGTCGCTGGGGTCACTCCTGCTGATGCCCGTGCCATCCTCATCCAGGCTGTGGCCCAGGTCTGAGGACCTGTGCTCCTCACTGCTGCTAGGGAGTGAGGAGGGCTCCAGGGCCCATTCAGTGTGCAGGGAGCTACAGGCAGATGAGTCGCTGGCCCGGCAGGCCGTGCAGCTGCTGACTGAGCCCCTGGCTGAGGCCTCACAAGAGGAAGTGGCCCTGGACCAGGCAGTGCTGGCCATGCTGGGAGAGCTGGGCAGGAGGCCAGGTGGCGGCACATTGTCGTAGGTGGACAGTCTCTGGGAGGAGCTTGAATCTCGGAGCTGGTCACCCGAGGAGGCTCGGCGGTGGCCGCGCAGGGAGGACAGGCCGTTCATAAGCCAATTCCCACTGCAAGAGACAACAGGCATCTCCAGGGCTGAGCTGCCCACCTTTGGGCTGGCTGGCCGGGACCCCGACTGCCGGAAAGAAGACCTCCAGTTTGGCAAAGTCTGCACCTTCTTCCCAGAACTGGTGGCAACTGGGCCTGAGGGCGAGGTCCTCACAAGAGCTGCCACGGTGGCCCCATCCAGAGATGAGGTCCTCTGTGAAGGCAGGCCAGGGACACTGAGGCCACCAGGATCCCCCTGGCTGTCCCCGGTGACCTCCTCAGGGCCCCAGCCCACTGTGCGCTGAGGGCCCCTGTGTGGGGAGGCTGACTCCACAGTGGCTGTTGCTGTGAAGAGCTGACTATGTTTGCGGATCAGGATGGTCATCAGGTGCTGGACTAGGGAAGTGCCTGCCAGTGAGAAAAAGCAAGAATGTCTCACAGTCCAGGGTCTGCCAACCACTCATAGACGAACTGCCCTGCACCCAGGGATGCTGGACCCCTGCAACCAGCAGGCTGCCTCTCCTAGGAACTGACGAGACCTTCTGCCTCTGGGCCCCAAAAAAGCCTGCATGCTTCAGCCTGCCCACCACATACTCCCACCAGCAAGGGGTAGACAGAGTTGTGGGCCTGGGAGCCTTTTATTGGATATATGGCCTTCTAGCACTGAGGGACCATGGTGCCCCTACAGCCTTGTGGGGGGCCCTACCCCAACTCCAGCCACATTAGGGCTGCTGGATGAGTGTTGGCAGGGTGGGGCTGGAAGGCAGGCTCTGGGATCCCTCATCTGCCCCACATCACTGCACTGTGATACCAGAACAGACTTAGGCCTTTGGGGTTGCAGCTCCACACAGGTGCCAAGAGCCATGACTGTACCCTATTCTTCATACTCCGGGGGGCACTGGTATGGGACGGAGGCTGAGCCTGCCTTGGGAGATACTGTATGCATCTGTAAAGGTGTACACACACATGTACACACACACAAAATCCCCCACAATCTCACAGTCCTGCACATGCATATACACATACACAAATACCCCAATTTTCTCACATACAGCCTCCCACAATCTCATACATATGCATACCCCAACCATATACCCCAACCACATGCACATACATGCAATCCTACACATATGTGTACACACACTAACTCATCCACACAACCCTACATATATGCACATACACGTAATCCCCCATGCATACAATCGCACACACATTTCACAGATATAATTCTACCTACACAATCCCACACATACTATCTCCTCAGCACACACACAACTCTCTACCCCCAGGCCAAGGCCTCTGAGCCCCCCTAGTCCTAGGGACTCAGCTAGTGTGGATGGTGGGGGCATGGTAGTAGGCAGTGTGGAGGGACTGTGGTCTCCATTTGGCTCAATCTTTATGATGCCCATGAATAAGAGGCTAGAGACTGGGCAGTTTTGTAAGGTATAAAGAAGGCTAAGTACTTGGGTAGGATCTCCCACTGAAGGTAACTAGGATTCCTGGAAAAAGTAAAGTAAGGAATACTTAGGACAAAGAATGAGGTGAAGCAGGAACTCGGGAAGGAGGGAGTCAATGTTTGCCCTCAGGGCATCCGCACAGCCAGGCAGGCTGAGCTGGGGGTTTGTCTGGTCTCCAAAGTGAGAGTGACCCCATGGGCTGCACCTTCCATGCGACAGCCAGAACAACCCCACACCCATCCTCACCACCACCACTGTCATGCACAGCAGGACAAGTGGCTCTGCCCTCCACTTGCACAGCACTGGGCAGTGTGGCCCAGTTGATGCTGGTGTACACATGAGCCCTTCACTGGGGACCTGGGAGTCCCTGCCTGCTGGGCTGTGGTTCATGCGTGTGAACAGCACAACTTACACCAACCCAGTCCATGAGAGTTGGTCTATGACCTGGGCTTGACCATCCATGTGCCAACCTGCACCTGTACCCTTGGGTAACTCTGGGTGACCAGCCTCTGATGGCACCTCACCTCTCCTAGCCTCAGTTTCCTCATTTGCAAAATGAGGGCAAGAATCACAGCACCGGCTGTGAAGGTTAAGATGAGGTGATACAGCAGACAGAGCAGCAGCTGCTGCTCTGTTTTTATTATTTTATTATGATTGGGTATTTATTTTGGAACTGAAATCTCCCCAAGGTCTGGGAAGCTCTAACACCCAGGAGCCTGTGACAATTACTTAATTTCAAAAGTAAAGCAAAAAGGTATGTGTGTGTACAAGACACTGACCTTCCCCCACCCCTGAGCCTGACCTCACTCATTTGATGACCCACTGTTACCACCTCAGGTCAAAGTTCCTTTTCCTTTGATAACTAAATCCCATGGGGGGATGAGAGGGGAGAGGGGGAGTCTAAAAGCTCCATCAAATCCCCAGTGATGGAGGTGTGCTGCCTTCAGCTTCCCTTGCTGGCTTGGCCCCTGGGGCTTGGCTTGGTTCTGAGGACTTCCCGGGACCAGAATGCACACAGATCCAGCACCCTCCCTCGTTACCTTCCATGAGGGTCACTGGGTCTTCCACCTGGGGCCGTAATATGTTAGGTCCAAACACGGTTGCCAGGTTCTGGACACTCATCTTATTGACATCAGAGTGAGACTGAACCTCGTCCAAAAACCTGCAAAGGACAAGCAACTGTCCGAGCAGGCAGATCCCAGTGCTAGATATGCTGGGTGCTGCCCAGCCCGCACGTCATCCCTACCCACACATGGCTGGGCACAGCCACCTCCTCACCAGGCCTGGAAGAAGGGTTCAAGCCAGCCAGCCATCAGGGGCAGAGGCCAGTGGGGCAGGCCTGCTGTAGAGTGCAGAGGAAGAAGTTCTGACAAGGGGTCAAATCATAGTAGTTTCCCACCTGTGGAGGCTGGCTGTATGGTTGGATGAGAACAGCCCCACGAAGCCCCTCCTGATGCCCAGTCTAGTTAACCTGAACCCAGAGCTTGGCTAGGCCATGGTCAGGAGGCAGACCCATGGGGGTGGGGAGGCAAGAGGCCCTTCCCTTTAGGGATTATTCAGGACTGTTTCAAACCTTCTGGTCCTCTGTGGCCAGTGAGCTCAATGTGCACTGGGAATGTGCCCTTCATACTCACACTGGATGGACTTGCTGAGGGGTGGGGTGGGGACAGGTAAATGAGGGTGTGGGGCCAGCACACCAGGAAGGTTTGTGCCCCTCCCCCAAAGGCTGCTTACTTGCAGATGTATCTGAGCAAGTTGTAATTTGCCGGAGGAAGGTCATTCACCTGTTTGGCCAACTCCAGAGTTCCCTTAAGAATGAAAGAGAAACATAGAGCTCTATAAGGCTAGCCTGAGGCCAAGCCTTTCTGCAGGATTGGGAAGAAGCAGAGGGAGGTGGGAGAACAAGGGCCTAGAGCACCATACCTACACAGGCCCAGGCCCAGAGCGGTCCTCCACCTCCATCTCCCTCCAAGGGGTGGCCAGGGGGTGGGCTAGGTGTCCCTAGGGGCAGCAAGGTTACTTTAGAGGAGTTGGGGTGAGGGGGTGGCTCTGCAGAGCCACAGAGGAATGTCAGGGTCACTCACTGCTCAGCATACTTATCAAGGCACAAATATTTGCCAGATAGCACCTCTCATCTACCCGCAGCTGCAAGGAGGGCAAATAGTCCCTGACTAGCCTGGCGGGCCCAGGGCTGTGGCAGAACCGTGGGGCAGGGGATCTGGGGCCTCTGTGGCCTCGTCCCTTTGGGAAGGAGACAGCCTATATAAATGAAAGAAAAATTCCTTGTTTCTGAGCCTGCAGCAGGCCAGGGGAGAAGAAGGAGGTGGTGGGTTGCCTATACCTACTATGTTGTGGCCCATAGCCCAGAGTTGGGCAGGAAGTAATGTGGCCTGCTTTTTGAAATACCTGTCCCTACCCCACCCCAAAGACCAGGGCAAGCATAGGAAGCCCCCCTCCCCATGGAAAGCAGGACCTCCAAGACTTGAATGCCCAGCTGAAGGGACAGGTCCTCACTAGCCTTGGTGTGCTGGGCAGAGGTAACCTGTCTCTGGGAGGGCCTGCACCAAACACTTAAAGGGTCTGTGCTCCAGGCCCCAGAACCTGGGCCCCCACCCCATGCCATCTGTCCAGACTGCTTCCCAGATAAGTCCCCGTGAGCCACTAACCTCACTCTCATCCTTGGTGAGAAGCTGGGCACAGCTGAGGAAGTCCTCGTACCTGGCGAAGGGTACCACTGGTTCAGGCAGCTCCCGTAGGTACAGCTTCAGCAGGGAGGCCACCGTGTGCACGTCTGTTGTGCTGTTGTTGGGGGGTGGGGTGGACACGCCTGAGGCCTGGAGCATCAGAGACCTTCAGAGTATCCAGACCTCCCCACCAGGGGCAGCCTCTGCCTCTGCTCTAATACCTGTGTGTATGTGGGAGTGGGGGACCTGCAGGCAATACTCCGTGTCTAGGAAAGGCCCAGGCCTCCTTCCAGAAGCCAGTGGGCAAGGCTCAGCAGGGTGGGGGACTAAGGCTTTGAGGCTATCCCAGCCAGGGATGACCCACTGAGTCAAGGCACTTGCTCAGGACCCTTGAGCCTCATCTCCTTGTCAACCAGGGAAGCCAAGTTCCCTCACAGGCAGTGTGAGACCCAACGTCCACATCACTTCTGCCAGCCCGAGGGGCCACTGAGGGCTGGAGGAATTTTGTGCAACCACTGGTGCCCAGCACCCAGCTTGCAGAGAAAGGACTCCATAACAGCAGCTAGGGAGCACGTGGAGGTGAGGTACCCCTTCCCCTGGGGCCTGGTGGCCACCTCAGGGTCTTTTGCAGAATGAAAGAGGTACTGGGTGAGGGCAGGGACCTGGGCAAAGCTGTCTATTGGAATTAGCACCAGGGCTTGTCGGGGCCTGAGATCAGTTTCAGCCTCCTCCGGTTTCTCCAGGCCCACTGAGCTGCAGCTGGAGTTTCCTCACCCTCCCAGGCCTCAGCCTCCCTGGCCTGGCCCCTTACATCAAGTAAGGCTGTGGAAGGCAGGTCTACCTATCTCCAGACTACAGCTTCCAGGGCTGTGGGGAAGGTCAAAGTCAGGCCCTCTCTCCCTGATCTCTGGGTCCCTGCCCTCATTACAGGGAGTGGTTTCTATCGTCACACCATTTCTAGTCTCAGGACCCCCGGGGACCCATGCCTAGCCTTCACTTACTTCTTCTTTGCTCTTCTGCTCCACTCTGAGCTTCACAGGCTGAAGTGGGCCTAAAGGGAAGGATGTGGCCCTGGATGCAGACAAGCTTCCCAGTCCTGTACAGCCTTGGCAGCTCAGGACTTGGACTACTGGTGAGATACCTCCTCTAAACTTGCATCTGGCTGGGCCTGGGCCCCAGGTGGTTCATCTGCTTTTCTGGGCCTGTTAGTTGGTTCTGTGGGCTCAGGACCATGGGTGCAAGGGACATCAAGCTCATTGGCATAACATACTACATAAAAGCATTGTTCCACATCCTGCTTTGGTGAGTGGTGACTTAAAAGTTTGCAAGCAGCCTTCTAGATGCAGTGATGGGTCTCTCCACATCCAGAGCAAGGAGGAATGAAGAAAACCAAAGATTCATGGAAACAATTAGTCCAAGGGACTGGCAGACCATGTAATCTTCAGCCTATATGACTATGAGACTGGAAGAAATAGATGGTGCCCAGCTGCCACCACTGTCAACCACTCGGAGGGGGATCTGTGTAGGAGATCCTGGATGGAGTAGGAGAACAATGTGGAACAGAACTCAGAATCATAAAAAAAAAAAAAAAAGAAAGAAAGAAAAAAGACCAGGTTGCTGGTCTGATGGAGCCAGGTGAAACCCCAGTGACTATAGCCTCTGGCTGCCCTTCAGGTCTGGAATTGAACTCACTCCTGTGGCTTTCAGCCAGGTAGTAAACAGGCATATGGGCTGAATATTTACATTGGGTGGATGCACACCTTAAAGAGATCAGTAGTGGGAGAACAGGGGGACAGTGTTTGCACAGAGAGACAGCTCAGGGGGCAGGAGTACGTGGGAGGGAGGGACCCAGGGAAGAGGTAGCTATGGGGAGGAAGTGGGAAGAGAGCTGTTGCACTGTGGGAAGTTGCAGTCGATGTCATGAGACAGGGTGTGTGTGAACTGCTGCGTGGAGGATGGGTTTGCTCTGTGAACTTTCACCCAAATCACAGTGAAAATTAGAAAAAGCAAACAAACTTTGGGTCTCCATTTCCCTCATTGGGGTTCTTGGGAGACTGTGGTTATGCTATTAACATGCCATCTGACCCTACCTCAGGGTAGATGCTGTCTCTTGTCCCTGCCCCACTCCCAGAACCAGGCTCATAGCCAATGGTGCTTGCTGCAGAGCAGGGGCTGGGCCCAGTGCACGGGAGAGAAAAGCTGTGACCACTTTAGTGCAGCCTCTCCATTCTGCAGAGGCACTGGCTCGCTTGCAACCCCATCTCAGCTATTCCTCACTGCCCGTGCATTCTGGTTCTTTGGGAGAGACACAGCACCTGCCCTAAGGTCAAATCAGCTCCTGCCTGGGTCTCTCCATCTGCACGATGGGTATGATCATGCTTTCATTTCTTCTTCTTCTCTTCGTTCCTAAGATCATCTCTCTAGCCCACACCAGCATCAGTCTGAGAGCAGCAGCAGCAGAATGAGGCTATGGGTGCCCATCTCTTGAAACATCACTCCCCACTCTCCACACAGCCTCCAGAACTACCTTTCTCCCTGCTGAGGGTCCAACGGACTTGGTGGTGGGAAGGGACAGGTATGGAATAGCTCAGTTCTGGGGGTGGGGGGGGTGACTGAGGCTTCTAAGCCTAGTGGGGGAGGGGGTCGATGGGCTGATGTTGGAGAGGAAGTTCTATGGAACTGCATAGAGTGGTGAGGAGGGGGCTTAAAGGTGGAAGACACTGAGGCTAGAAGCCAGCACCCAGGAAGGTGGGCGTCATGGTGCCGAGAGCTATCTATGTCCTGGGGGTAAGCAAGCTAAAGGGGTATGAGTGGGCAAGGAGAGACCCAAGGGGACCCTCTGAGAGTGGTGGGAAGAGCTGCCAAGCAAAGAAGTGTCCTTGGAGATGGCAGGAAGCCAGCGGAGAATGCTCAGGGAGGGAAGAGTTTCCAGAAGAGTGCTAGAAAGGCTAGGGTGAGGATGCAGACCTCTAGGAAGCACGGACAGAGCCTGGAATAGAGGCTAGGACTGTGACCATGCTGGGCAGGGCGCACCTATGTGCTGCCTTGGGTAAGTGACACAGTGTCTCTCAGGTTCGGTGTCATTCATAAAATGGACATGAGACCACTTAAGAAAATGCCTATGAATGACAACCAGGGAGCAAAGGGGGAAGGAAGGAGGAAATGCAGAGGAAAAAGGGGGCAGGTCTCTGCTTCCCAGTGAAGGAGAAGATGTTCTCCCAGAGGGCAGGGAGAGCTCGGGAGGGGAGAGGGGCTAGGAGCTGGGAGCCTCCCACATGTCTGTACCTGCCCCCACTAATCCCAGGCTTCCTGTCCCCACCCCTGGAGGGTCCCTCCTCAGCCACTAATGCCCAAACCTGGTTGCTAAGCAGAATCACAGAGGGACTCTTCAAACATACACTTGTCCACTCCTCATGTCTAGTTGAAGGGCAGGGCCCCAGAACAGGCTGAAGGGCACCAGGATCAGGACTGGATGCTCTGCTGGGGCCTCAGGGCCAACCCCACTCCCAGGCCAACCCACTGTCCCCAACTGTGGTCCCTGAACAGCCGCAACCTGCATCTTTTCCCCTCCTGGTCCTACTCTGCCTGTTGAACACCCCCTGGAGAGGGGGCTACTCTCACCATGAATGACCACAGAGCCCATTAAGTATCCCTCACTTTTAAACTCACACACTACATCATAATTCCTTTTTTACTTGTCTTGTTCTCCTCACTAAACTATAAACTCCTACAGGTTACCACGTTTCTCAAACTTTGCTGACAGGACCATATGGGTACTTTCAGAGACACAAATTCCGGGGGACAGGGGAGGGGAGGGGTGTGGAAGTTTCAACAGCTGCCCTGGGTGGGATGTGACTGGTTCATCTTCACGCTACTGGGCTGGGCCTGCCTGAAACTCTGAACACTTCCTCTCTACATCCAAACTCACCAAGCCCATCACCAGTCAATCACAAATCACCTTCATGTTCTGCTGCTCCCCAGGCCAGGAGGCTTCACCACTTTTTCTCTACCCTGGGACCCACCATTCAAGCACTGGATGGAAGCCCCTCCTCCAAGATGCCTCCAGTATCCCCCAAAGGTAGCTCTCCCTTTCCCAGTCCCTTTCCCTGCCTTCCAGTGAGATGGTGGTTCAGATTCTGACTTCAGGTTTGTTTACTGTGCAGGCTCTTCAGCCAACTGCCTCCTCGACAGGAGCCTTTCAGGTTGCTAAGGGGCTAAATTAAACTGGATGATGTGGCATGGGCCTGGTGCATAGCAGCTCCCATGAAGCTTAGTTTCCTTTCCCCCATCACAGTGGATGTTTGCTTGAACCTCTCCCCATGTGGAACTGTCCCTGGAGAAGGGCAAGAACAGCACACTCACTAGTATTCAGGATCACATCATGTCACTTATCTTCATGACAACCCTGGGAGGTGGGCACATTTGGGCTCACTTTACAGAACAAGGCTTAGAGATCGGGGTCACCTGCCTGTTGGTGGTCGTGCCTTTCCTCACTCTTAGCTGCTCTGGAATGTGCCAGAGGATGAAGCCCCTCCAGTGGCTCCAGAAAGGTTATCTTTGTCTGTCTGAACCTGGACTGGTGTGGAAAGAGACGAGGTGGCACGTACGATTTGCTCACTGATCCTCAGGGGCCAGGCTCATCTGCAGGACAATACGCTGCTGTCCCCAGGAAAGTCTGGACACTGCTGGGTGCTGGGCTTGTGTGGAGGGGATGCAAGACTAACCCCCCAGTTTTAAGGAGCTGCCCCTGGTCAGGGTGAAAATTCCCTGAGGTAGGTAGTATGGGGGTGGTATTCCCTTCTAGCTCCCAAAACACTCCAGTCAAGGTGCTGAACTTCTGGGGTCAATAGGAGTCCACAGGGGTGGCCCAGAGCAGCTAGGGGGCAAGGCCAACCATAGAGCTGAAGAGAGTCCACAACATAGAGCTGAAGAGAGTCCACAACACTGTCTTTCTAAGCCCCAGCCAAGGCAGGGCTGCTGGGTCTGGACACGGCAGCACTGACCTTTGACCCATGCCCCTGATGGGAAACATGCCCCTTCAGAGCATAACTGCCATCAGGGCTCAAGCCACAGAGACTCAGAGCGCAGGCTCATGGAGGAAATGAGAAGATAGGGGAGGAGCTGCCCAGGGCAGGTAGGCAGGCAGTACTGACTGACTGCTCACTCATATTCACCACCCCTTGCCTTAGTTCATTTGTGGATGAAGAAAATGAGGCTCCAGAAAAGATAAAGGGCTGACCACATGCATTTCAGAATGAGGTGTGAAAGATATCCACTCAGCTAATCAATGACTTCCCCAGGCCAAGGAGGGGTTGCTATGAGTCAGAACTGACTCAACAGTAGTGAGCTTGCTTTTTTTTTATGACCCCCTCCATCTTCACACAGCTCTCAGCACCAAACTAAACCTACTGCCATGGAGTCATTCTGACTCATAGCGACCCCCACTGGGTTTGCGAGGCAGTAAATCTTGTTGTGGAAGTAGATTGCCCGGTCTGCCTTCCACGGAGTGGCTGGTGGAGTAGAACCTCTAACCTTCTGGTTTGGAGTCAAACGCCTTAGGCACTTGACCATAGGCCTTAAGCCATCTTGAAACCCCAGCTCTGGGCCATATAGGGACATGATGAAGAGCCCTGACTGGCAGAGGTTCAGAATGGACCACAAGCTCACAGAAAGTGAGCAGTGTAGAGGGGTTTCATGAGGCTCCAGACAAAGGGACCCTGTGTACCGTCCCTGAGCAGACCTCACTCAGGGGGTGAAACTGACAAACTCCCTTGACTGCAGTGATGAGTCTGGGAGAACATGGTGAAACTAAGCATGTTCTACCTAGAAGGAGAAGCCCTGGGATGGCCAGAGCTGCCTGAGGGTACCCATGGGAAGATTCTGGAATACTGGAGCAATGGGGGTCTCATCTGTGAGGTCAGATCCAAGAAGAAAGGTCAGAAGCAGGGAACTGGGGTTGGCATGACCCAGGAAGAACCTTCTATGAAAAAGTGCCACATTAGGGGTACGGTCCTGTCAGAGAGAAGAGAGGCCACCACCACCTTCTGGTGAGCCCCACCCCCTTCACTCTTAGCCTATAAGTGAATTTGGCTCCCCTAAAGGGGGTGGAGCACAGGACCTGGGCAAGCCACAGGGATGGGTTAAAATGGTCACATGACCCAGGGCAAGTGGAGGAGACTCAATTCCAGGACTCCACCCCACCCAGAAACCCTAGAGGATGTGGGTAGGAGCTGAGGCCATCATCTTGTCACTGATCTAAGCCTGGGAATGAGTCAACCCAGAGAACTATGCCAAGAGGCTGACCCTACAGGAAATCTTGAGTCCTGTATTGAACCCTGAATTCTACCATGCCATTCAAGAGGAGCCCTTCTCTTCTTCCATCTGGGTTAGGTTCCAAGCATTTGCAGGGGAAGTAGTACCAGGGAACAGAAATGGGCCTCCTTTATGGCAGCTGCCATCCCTGAGCAGGTGTCTAGCCTCTTAGAGGAAACCTAGGTCCATTATAGGTTTGGTGTTTTGCACCCTACCTGTCTGGAGGGCTTCCTGAGCACATGAAAACACTTGGCAGCTGTGACAATGTTGGGAGCCACTGGCCTACCATCCAACTGCCAGACTTCTAGGCACCAGCCTGGCCCTGTCCACTTGTGCTGGGGCCCTAGGAAGAAGCCCCTGCAGGGAAGGAAGGACAGGTGGTCCATTTTGGCTCCCCCCAAGCCAAGGCCAGAGCTCACCTGTCAAACAGCGGCTTCTCCCCGCAGTCGAAGGAGTCCTGCAGGTCCCTCACCAGGTTGGCCTGACCCGGCATGCGGAAGAGCCCCTCCTCAGTAAGCCCACGCTCCCGGAGGAAGTCCACACATTGCTCCACCAGCAGTGGGGCCTGACGGGGACCATACTTTCGCTCATGGTGGACTGTGTCCTCCAGGTGCTGCCCAAAGATCCCTAGGCACAGAAAGGATAGGGTCATACCCTCTGCTGCCCAGGTGAGTGAAGGAGGACACACAGGACAAGGGAGGGCTGGACTGCTGGTAGGGAGCAAATGAGGAGCTGTGCCTTGGGCAGTGTGGGGCAGAGGGCAGGAGGGAGCAATAAGCATGTGGCCTGGCCTGTTCTGCAAAGCTTGTCCAAGCCCGAGGAGCAAGTGGCCCTCAGGGAGTGTCCATTATGCATTTTATTGAATGGTTTATATATACACCAGCAATTTCCAAACAGGAGTGGCTCACAACTAAAATCTCAGAACTATGTCCACTAAAAGACATGCACTAGAATGTTCACAGCTGCATTCCTTATAATAACTAACTGGGAACCACTGATGCCCATCAGCACTGCAATGGACAGATACCATGTGCTACACCCAGCACAATATATGCAGCATGAGAATGGATGAAGCACACCTTACTTGGTAAGACAATCCTTTAACATACTAATAATGAAAACATAATTGTGAACACACACTGCGTAATCTCAAGTAGGTCAAGTATACAAAGCAGCCAGATGCATCTTCTGTTAGAGGGTCAAGACATGGACACCCTGTGTGAGAGTGACTTCAAGGAGCCTGTGGGAGTGCTACAAAAAAAAAAAAAAAAAAACACCTCACTGCCATCGAGTCTATTCGACTCATAGTGACCCCTCCTTGGGTTTCCAAGGCGGCATCTCTATGGAAGTAGATAGTCCCAAATTCCTTCCAAGGAGGGGCTGGTGGGTTTGAACCACCAGCCTTCTGGTTAGCAGCCAAATGTCCTAGGCACTATGCCACCAGAACTCCCATGGGGGCTCTAGGGTGCTGGTAAAGGTCTAGGTCTGGAGCTAGGTATGGGTTACCCAGCTGTGTTCACTTTGAGAACATTCAGTGAAATGTACACAGTACACAGTAAATGAGCGGTAGAGGGAAAGAGGAAGAGGACAAAAGAACTTCTGACTGAGAAAATACATGGCAAGTAACTGTAAAGCTGGGCTAAGAGGCTCCTGGTAGACCAGACAAAAAGAGAAAGAGATGCGATCTATAAATCTTTTGACTGGCAAGGAGAGGACTAACACACTAGGAGAAGCAGATCTAGGAAGTCTTTGGCGTATCCAACATCTTAATTTTTAGAATGCAAAGGCCTCCCCCACAGGGGGCTTCCAGGGTGTGCCAGGGGTGAGATATCAATGCTCTATTCTGTCTAGGCAGTTCTGTGTCCGAGACAGATGCAGCCCAGGCAGGTGGCATCCCAGAGGTATGGATGGTGAGCCAGCTAGGTGAGGGGTTCAACTCACCCCTGCTCTGAGAAGCAGCATGACCCTGGGAGCCTACCCAACTCCCACACACAGTGGCTGGTTTGAAATAAGATACACCAGTCCCTAATACAGTGCCTGGCACAGAGCAGGGCTAAGTAAGTGTTTCTTCCTGCTCTGCTTGACCCCAAAGACAAAGTGAACAGAACCTGGAGGGATGAAGATTCCGTGCCTCTAGAAAATGCCCCCAGGGAGTGCTCCTGATGGCTATCAGTGCTTTCGGGAGGAGGTGTGTGTTATAAGTCTGCTACTACTAGGAGTCTCAGGGTGGGTCAAATATTTAATGCATTCAGCTGCTAACTGAAAAGTTGGAGGTTTGGGTCTACCCAGAGGTGCTGCAAAAGAAGTCTGGAAATCTACTTTCAAAAACTCAGCCATCGAAAACCCAATGGAGCAGAGTTCTACTGACACATATGGAGTTGTCATGAGTTGGGGTTAACTTGCCAGCAACTGGTTTATTGCTACTATTACTATCATGATCCATATCATCACCATGATGATTTTTCAGATGAACAACCTGAGAGATAGGGTATAAGAGCATGATCAAGTTCACACAGTAAGCAGCAGGGTCAAGATTCAAACCCAGGTGGTCTGGCTCCACAGATCTAGAGAATGTTCTAGGCCACAATGCTGTTCTCCACCCAGCTCATATGGGTTATCTGTGTGACTAATTGGACAACTACATATTTCCTGCCCAGCCTAGCTCCTGCTTTTCTAATGTCTTCTCACACCAGCAGTTCCTGAAGATGTGGGTCATCTGGGCAGTGGCCAAAGGTAAATGGATGCTGCAGCACTAACCAGAAAGGAAAGGCTGTTGGCTTCCCACACTTGGTGGGAAAGCCTTAGCCTCCCACTCATAGGGCTGGGGCCTAATGGACTGCTCCAAAGACTTGAGAACTGGGTTGAGGTAACATGGGCATGGTTGCTGCCTGGAGTAGTTCTGAGAAGCAGCCGATCCAAGGAGTCCCCAGGACCCATTGCTAACAGCATTCTGACCAGAGGCCCTCCCACCCAGATTGGGCTGATCCTGGCAACACAGAGCCACTATCCCCTCATTTCACTCAGGGCTTAATCATCTACACTCAACAATGGCCCACATGTGCCTACAGATGTGCTTGTTTAGCTCGCATATTTGAAACAGTTTATTGAAGTATTTAAAATTGAGATTTCACATAAAAATCTGGACTCTTGGCTTCTCATGAAAAATCCACGGATCTGGTGGCACCAGCCCAAATTCCCAAAAGGCAATGTTAGCTGGCGCTCAGTACCATCTGTGCCCTCTTGATAGCACATGTACTTGCCAATTTTCTAAAGTCTTCCCCACCTCCTATTGCCTCAAACTCAGCCCATACTTCACTCATGTGGCTTTGCCAGGTATTCACCTCTTTTGCTTTGACATCTGGGGCATGGACTTCCTGCAAAGGCAATGGGATCAGAATAACCACAGAATGTAGAAATGGGAAGCCATGCCTGCCATGGCCAGAAGTATTTGCTAGGACCTCAAATGAGCTGGCTGAGCAGATACAAGGGGAAGTGCCCGTGTGAGCAGAGGGTCTCCAAGAGACATTGAACCCTCAATGACCCCCCCATATGTCCCTTAGGCTGCTCTGGGAAATGCTAAGAGGGTTAATGAGAAGTTCCCGTGGTCACAGCATCCCACACACCAGGGACTCCATATAGCTTGCCTCCAAGTGGTGATCTGCCTGGCATGAGGTTTGGGTTTGGGTGGGACACAGGCAGGCAGCTGACATTCAAGGCCACAATGGTCTTGTGTATGCACCAGCACTGGTCTGGGTTCACGTCCTGGCTAAAACACTGAGGAGCGGAATGTGCCCTCTCCCTTGGCGGGACCTCAGTTTTCCCATCTATAAAATGTTGGCGATATCCCTGCTTTGAGGGGCACTGTGAAGATCTGATTGCCCCTACCCATGGCACCTGACCCTGGCCTGGGACTGTCCCACATGCTCAGCACAACTGCAGAGTCTGCATAGAACCTTGCACAAGTTCTAGGAGCAAGCTGCTTCCTTGTTGACCTCTTCAGAGGGGAGAAATCTAGGGGAACCCGTAGGAAAGCCTCAAGGGAAAGCTAAGAGGCTTCCTTCCCTGCTGTCCTGCCAGAAGCACCTAGGCTCAGGCAAAGTGTCTGCAAAATCTCTGGCAGGGCCAGAACAGCCAGGCCAAATGCCGTCAGCCTTCCTGGCACTTCTCAGAAACAACCTTGCCAAGAACCAGTTCCAGTGGGTTTGTCGGATCCCTAGAAGCCCTGCCAGCGTGCGGGTTCCTCGAGGTCCCTGCCCACGCTTTTCACAAAACACAGGCTCTGCCACGGGAGAGGAAACTGGCAGCTGCTGCCTTCCTCTTGGATGAACCTGCTGACAGGCTCAGAGCTGAGGGCTTCCTCCCCTGCCGTCTGCTCCTGGCCAAGCCAGAGTGCATCCTCTCTCCCTGGCTCTATTCCTATGGAGGAGCAGGAGGCTAGAGGCAGACCCAGTCCTGGCTAACCTTAGGCACGGGTCTCAATCTCTCTGAGATTCGGATTCTGCCACTTCACAGGTTTGTGAACACCTGGGAGAGAGTGCTCAGGCTTTCTCCTAACCCAGGAGAACAGTGCACAAAGGGTAGAGGTAGGAAGACTCCTGCCCCAGGGCCCCAGCCAGAAAGAGGCAGCTGGGATTCCCTCTTGGAGCTCATCGTGTTCTGACCATACTTGGACCTTTCCAGTTGGGGGCTGTTGGGGGTAGTGAGACCTGGAGTCAGGTGGCAGGATACTAAGAGAAAAAGAATACCAAAATTCTCCTTAGACTTTCCAGCCTTCCGTTGACTCTAGCCTTTGCTGTTCTCTTTTCTCTTGTCCCCAGGATACGGTCTGCCCATCCACCAGTCCCTCCTCCAGCTTCCGTAACTCCTGCATCTGCAGCAGGCCCTGTTCTGGGTCTTAGAGGGCCCTACAGCTGCCCTGAGGCAGGGCCCCACACGGACTGTCCCCCTGCTGAAAACTTTTCTGTGCCTCCCGGTGCCCATCCAGGCCTCACCAACCTCAGCTGCCTCTCAGCGGAGAAACACAACGAGAGGCAGAAACCATCTGGGTGGGCGCTCCGAGGCCCCAGGAGAGAAGTAACTTCTTCCTTGCTGATGGTGTCCAGCCAAAAACGGAGCACAGGGGCCTTAATGAGACTCAAGGAGGCGTAAGTGGAGCCAGGCTGGACTTGGGCTCATTTGGCCCAAGGTCTGCCTCCGGCTTGGACCCCTCAAAAACCAAAGAGGCCCTTTGCAAGTCCCCACACCTCTCCTATAATCAGTTCCTCATCGCTGCACGCTGACGCCCAGCTCCCAGGCAGAAGATTCAAGGAGGCCAGGCTCTTAGGGCGCTCAGGCCTCTGCCCCTTTTCCCGAACTGGCGCGTCCCTCACACCCCCTGCTTGAAGAACGGTGCCGCTCCTTCCGCACACAGTCTGCCCAGGCGTCCACAGCCCACACCTCGTCCTCCCCTGCGACCCCGCCGATCCCACGAAGCGCATGCGCTGCGCTCTGGGTGCTGGCGGCGCTGGTCCCGGGTCCGAGCGCGCTCTCAGGCCTCGCGGGCCCCAGGGATGCCCGCCCCCGGTCCCGCCCCTACCTGGGGCGGCGGGCGCACAGCAGGCGGGCAGGCGACAGGGCGGCCGCGGGCA